ATGTACCTCTCTATGTCTTTCTCATCCTCAATGCTGCCATATTGGTCACTCACATTTGAGTACCTGCAGTTTTTATCAAGACAATGACGGAACGAATCTTTTTCTCTTTAAACAGAAATGTGGGCTGCTTGTCAAATAGAGTTTGATTCATAACTAATTTAGCAGTATTTCCACAAAAGTACTGATGAAGGAAGGTGAAGTAATCAGGAAAAAATGCCTGTAATCCTCTGCTACAGGGTTCATCCTTTGTCAAGCCTGCTGCAAGTGTGTGTGTATAATTAATTTTCATATGAATAATTTTTTTAATAAAGTGTTTTTCTAAATAACTCTGTTAAGGCATAATTTATATGCCATAAAGTTCACCTATTTAAAGTATACAATTCACTGCTTTTAAGTGTACACAGTATTTTGAAATTTCCTTTTTTGCATAACAATACATTGTAGGTATCTGTTCATGCCAGTATGTTTAGATAGAATTGTATCAGTTTTTTAGCATCTGCTTAGTCTTACATAGCTGTGCTATGAATTACTTGAACAATTCTCCGTTGATGGGCATCTAGATTGCTTTCATTTTTTGCTTTAATTTCAGTGTTGCAAGGAACATCCTATGTCTTTGCACAGTTGCACCCATGTATGTTTCTTATATTTCTTTAGTTGCATTGCGTTGTTCCTCTTAATCCTGTCCAATTTATAAATAATTTTATGGCTCAGAAGAGTTTCAGAGAATTAAATTCCCAAGTTCGCATTGCTGATAATTAGCAAAAGAAGTACTTGATCTGGAACTGAACTCCTGTGGCTTCCAGCCAAACAATAGACAGGCATATGGGGTGAACATTTACATCAGGCAGATACACTACTTGGAGCGATAATTACAGTTAATGTCATAAGACAAAATGTGTATGAACTGCTGTATGGAAAATGAATTTGCTCCGTAAACTTTCACACAAATCACAATAAAAAATTTAAAAAGTAAAAAAAATAAAAGTACTTGAATCCTGTTTTATTTGTTTTTCTGTTTCAAGTGTTGTGCTCTTCTAGTCCCTGCAGGGTTTTGGCAAACAGTGGTGTGTCTGGAAGAGCATGATTAGGGAACAGTTAAAGGAGCTGGGACTGTTTAGAAGGCAAATATTAATTAACTTGCTCAACGTATATATTTATTGAGCATCCACTGTGTGCCAGGCTGTGGTAATGGCTCTAGGTGGTGGACTAACAGTTACAAGACACAGGGATCCTCTACTTTCATGGAGCTTTTATTTATTTCATTGAGGAGGAGATGGACAATTAACAAGGAAACAAATAAGATCATTTTAAGTAGTGATAAGTACTATCAAGAAAACAAAACAGATGATTATGATTAGGTTATAGGGGAAAGGCTCTTTGAGGAGATAACAGAAGGCTGAGACCCAAATGACGAGACAGAGTTACCAATATCTCTGCCTGTGGGCATCTTTATGAAACATGAATCGTAATTGCATTAATGAGAATAGACATAGACTCTCAGTAGATGATAATTAGCAATGTCTCATTTCCCAGCTGGACCATTGATAAGTTAGTTATTTTACCTGAACTCTTTAAATTCAGTTTTCTCATCTGCAAAGTAGAGATAGTCAGCCTACCTCTTGGGCTATTAAGAGAGTTTGATAATAATGTAGGCAAAATCCAGCAGGCTCTCAGTAGTCACTGAGTAGATTTCATGATGTTCCATGTAAAGGAGACATCTCAGACAATTACTGCAGATCACAGATGAATGGCTTTCTTGAGTTAGTGGTTTCCCTGTTGTGGTGTAGTAAATTACTTAGTGTGGCTTTTCTACCCATAAGTCTTAGCAAACTCCAGGGTGGGAATTGCTATTAGCAACTGAGGAGATCCTGATTGCTAAAGTCGCCCATCTGGAGTATTTCTGTTGGGAGTGGCACAAAACAATGTTCTGGGGGGTGCCCACTCTCTCTCAGGTGCTTAGAGTTCTGATGCTATGATTGGCTAGTTTGA